TTTTTTTTTTTTTTTTTTGTTAGAAATAATTCATGTTCATGTTTGTCGAAGATGAAAAGGGGAATAGATCCACTATTTCGTGCTTGAACCCTTCAAATTGATCACCATTAGACCATAACATTAATGAGCAAACCAAAAGGTCTTTGGCCTAGCGGTATCATAGTCATTGGCCTTCTAGGAGGTTAAGGGTTCAAACCTCACCATAGGTGATGAGGGTATGTGAGTTTATTTGTTTCATTTGCCGTATATAAATATTATATACTTCAAAAAGAAAACATTAATGAGCAACAATATATGGAGGAGGAGAGTCGTTCATGGAAATCAAAGACACATTTCATGACGGTGGAGGTCGATTTTGAAGAAAAAAATTGAGATAATTTCAATTCATAAACTAAATTTGAAGATTGATAAGGTTTTAAATATATATGGTTTCAAATTACTTTAATACCCTTTTTCTTTTAAAAAATGATTTAAAGTCATGTAATCTATTTAAGGTTAAATGAGAGGATGAGGTTAATTCTTAAGGTATTATAATCGGGTATTTCTCATTTGAACTAAACACTCACAACTCTATGTCTCTCTCTACACATACGCGCACATATATATAGGCATGTTCATATGAAAATTGTAAATATTTTTAAAACAGGGGAACCATGCACCTATTTCATATATCATTTATGATGAATAATATTCATGATTATTGAGTGATATTTATTACAAAGGATACATGAAATTGATGATTCCCCACTTCTCAAGATATTTATGGATCGCAGTTGAACTCATATGTATATGGGGTTGGGTTTTAATGAGAATAGTTTTTTTTTTTTGAAAATATGAGAAAAAGTAAAGATATTCTTATATTTTGTGAAAACTTGCTGTAAAAACTTCGAAGATACTTTCATGGTTTGTATTGGGCTAAAACATACGTACATTCAAGTCTTCAAGATATTGTCTCAATACAAAAATGATGTAATAAACTAAACCAAACAAAGGTATAAAGTTTGGAGTTGTTTTTGAATAAGGATGGCAACTTGAGGGGTTTATTTGGTTAATTATATGCTTAATTGTTTTAAACCCCACACCGCCTCATATTTAATTATGCATATTTACATGAGATATTTGTGTTATCTTACGGGGGATTGTGAAGGAAGTAAGAAAAAGTTTGTGAGAAAGCTTATATGTGTTTTTGAGTCCAAGAGAAAACAAAAACCAATAAGGGAAGAAAGAAGAATAGAATTTTGTGATTCTTAATTTGATTGTTTGTTTTGTTGTTTGTTTTCATCTCTGTGAATTAAGGTGAGTTTATTATATAAACTTTCATCTTACAATAATTAAAACAGAACCGTATGGTTCTTTATGTGGGAAGTTTTGGAACTGATGTTATGCTATTATTAGCATAATTTTGTATTTTGATATGTTAATATCAAATGATTAGAATAAAAATGACTAATTAGGAGATGTGTATTTTTGATATAAGGGTGACATAATCAGGAGAGACGTATTTTGAGATAAGGGTGGCATAATCAATAGAGACGTATTATGGGATAAGGGTAACATAATCAAATGAATATGAAAATTGAGATTTTGATCATAAGACAATCTGTTGTCACATCCTTATGATGCGATGACTTTGAGTTATCACATATTTATGATGCGATGACTTGACTTTGTCGCATCCTTGTGATGCGAGAAGGGAGTTTGTCGCATCCTTGTGCGACAGGTTGACTTATCGCATTTTAATGATGTGAAAAATTGGGTTTATCGCACCAGTGTAATGCGATGAGATGGGTTCTTGTACCAGTGTGTTGCGAGGAAATGGGGTTGTCTCACCTATCGGGATGCGAGAAAATTATAGTTTAATCTATATAATGCGATAAGTTTATGTGTTATGCAATAAAGGGTTTATTTGGTTGTTTGACACGATAAATGAGTGATGCCTCATCTTATTGATGCGACAAAAAAAGTTTGTTTTGATAAAACGTTATTTATTTGTTACTTATACAAATATGGATTTTATAAAAACGTTTTGGTGATTTTCACACTGTAATAGCAATCAAAGAGATTTTTCACTAGCCTCAAGGTTTAACCCTCATTTTGGTGTTTTAAAATATGCATTACTGGTCAGACATAATCTGATGATAAGGGAAAGGAAAATTATTAAGAAATTTATTATTGCCTGCATATAGATTTTGGAATGATGTGATATTATTTGTACTTGAATACTTGTTATAATTACAAGTCTTATAATGGAATTATATGGAACAATTTGGTAGTTATTTTTGTAATGTAGTTTTTGTAGATATTACGATCCAATATGGAAATTATATTTCATAATATATGAAATATATGGTTATATGGAAATATAATTTTGGATCTAATAAATCTCAGAATTTAATACGAAAATAATAACTAAGTTTAAAAGAATAATAATAAGGATGAGAAAAAAGAATGATTTAGAAAGAATTGAAAAGAGTGAAAGAGACCTTGGTATACGGAAAATATATATAATATATATATATATAACCAATTTTTAATTTTATAACCATCATCCTCCACACAGAGTACCCTTTTCTTTAAGTGTGTGTGTGAATTTCTGAACTAAGTCAATTGAAGATTAATTTAGTGTGTTCACATAACGGACCATCCATGGAAGAAATCCTCAACACGATCTCCATGAATGGATTCCCATCTAAGATAAGATCATCAGTTTTCCTCATCACCTGATTCCATCCTGTATACATATATATATATATATATACATATACATACACATGCATATATGTATATATGTATATATATACACACCAACCCCAAAAGAGTACAACTGGGTTTTTTGAGGAAGTCATCCAATTCCGAAGATGGACTCCATTTTCAACCTTCAGGAAACAGAAAGATCCAGTTTGCTTCAACAAATGGTCGACTCTTTTGGATGCACATACGTTTGCCTCTGGTCTCACTTCCCTCATCCTTCCAAGTACTACATCCATCTCTCATGCTAGCTCGATTGATTCTCTTTATTATATATATATATATATATAGACACACATATGTATATGTATATGTACGAATGTAATTAGCATGTTGTTTTAATCTTTCTATTAATACCGATGCAAAATCACAGTTGTTTGATCTTCATCGATGGAGTTTACAAAGATGGGAACAATCAAGCAAGCTCATCATCTGCTGGGAGTCTGGGCATGAGGTCTTTTCTTGAGTACCAGAAGTCAACGTTCTTGATTGATAATTACAGTGGGTAAGAACAAGAAATCTATATGCAATCTCTTTTAATTTCCTATAATTATATGTTTTTAACATGGGATTACAATTTGATTGATTTCTGTAATGTATGTATGCATGCTAGGGGGGTACATGTTCCAGGGTTTGCATTCAAGAACAATCTTCCATACATGGAGCGTAAAGGCTTGGAGCTTTTAAGATTGACATGGAATGCTCAACAACAACAATTTTATCAAGTAATTACACTCCAGATTAATTAATTAATTCTTATCATTGTTTGGTAATTAATCATGAAAAGATGTGATTTCTTGATGCATGCATGCAAGATCAAGATTTGATTTTTTATCCCTATCTTTTACTTGTAGGGATCTAGGAATGAGGTATGTAAAATGTGTATATTAAGCTCAAGATTCGATCTGTTTATATATATCCGGTTTCATTTCATTTTTATCTTGTTTTCGTTAAGGATATGCAAATGCTAGTCATTTGTTGTTCCATCATGATCTCGAGTGGGTAAAAGCGGCCAACCCGTGAATTACGCCCACGAAATAGAAATGAAATGGTTGAAACCAATCGATTCAGATCGAGCCTGTAATTTCATGATACAAATGAACAATGACAGACTTCCATTACAGACTGTAATTTTTATGGGGTGCAAGAATGGAGAGATTGAGATTGGCATGTCCAATGGCACCTCCCAAGTAAGAAATCATATCTCATGAGGATCATCTTTCTTGAATATTTGCAATTCATCTTCAATTCCCATATTGATCTTCAACTGTTTTCTGGGTTTTGAATGTAGATTGACTTCGAAATCAAGTTAAAGAGATTGTTTCCTGGAGATTTCCCACAAGAAATGCTTCCACAACCACTTGATCAGGGTCGAGTTTCATCTTCTTCATCGTCTCTAAGATCATTATCCATCGAAAATGGTTCCGAGTACTCACCTTTTCTCTTCAACATGCTTCAAACAACTTCTTATATACCGGAGACGATATTTGCTCCAAAAGAAGCATTTTTGGATCAACAAGCACCAAATCAAACACCAGCTTCTTCCAGAATAAGATCGCAAGATCCTCTTCAACAAGTTCTTGACCAAATTAGAAGCAGTCAATTGATGCCTTTACGAGAAAATGAAGAAGCTGCAATGACAAGAGCAATTCTTACAGCCATTTCTTCTTCTCCTTCCCCCTGTTCTTCTTCATCCCAACAGCTTCAAACACCTCATCAAGATGGTAGTGCATTTAAGAGATATCGATCATGTTTAGGACCCACAAAACAACGAAACCAAATTAGTCGACAAAATCTCAGCAGAAGATCACTTACATTCTTTCGAAATCTAAGTGAGGCTCGAGCCCAACAAGATCGAATGTTCCAAACAACACGGCCGACAACCAGTCAACTTCATCACATGATATCAGAGCGAAAAAGACGAGAGAAACTCAATGAAAGTTTCCAAGCTTTGAGATCACTGCTTCCTTCGGGGTCCAAGGTATCATTTCTCATTTCATATAGCTAGCTAGGTCTCACCTTCATTTCTTTGCCCATGAAATGAAATGAAGATGGTAAATGTTGAAAAGAAACCAAACCCTAATTTGTCTCACGAAAACCCTTATCTTGGAATTGTTTTCTGTTTAAGAAAAATGTAAACTTGATACTAAAAAAAGGAAAATATTCTAAAAATCGTACGATTTTTGCTTTCGGAAACCTAGCTAAAATTGTGATTTATGGTTTATGATCTTAGAAGGATAAGGCATCAGTGCTATCAAACACAAAAGAGTACATAGCATCTTTAAAATCTCAAGTCGAGGAGCTTAACAAAAGAAACAAGATTTTGGAGTCTGGTGAGCATTCCGGGAAACTAGCAGCAGTACTTGATCAAGATTCCGGTGAGAGAGTAACCGTCCGAATTAGAAACGTTAGTGAATCAAGTTCCGAATCACGAGTGGTGGAGTTGGAAGTGCACGCAAGAGGGAATTTGGTACTTACGGACCTGGTGATTCGGATGTTGGAGTTCATCAAACAGGTCGAACATGCCACCGTGGTGTCCGTAGATGCAGGAACGCCATCGTTGGAGAACGGTGTTCAGGCGAATCGAGTGGTTTTGAGATTAAGAATTCAGGTAAATCTTCATATAGTTAAACTTTGATAATTTATTTTACCACAAATATATAAAAAGACCCTGCATTTGCAATATGAATACATGAAAATCTAATTAAAAGACTTGATTGTAATGATTCATACACGTACGTTTAAAAACATTGTTAATAGTAATTATAATGTGCATGTGTAATGTGTTCATCAACTGTACATATTACGGTGATAAAATAAAATTAGAAATTAAGTAATAAAACATGCAAGTTATTAAAGTTAATGTTATAGCTTCTTGGAACACAACATTTTTTACCCCAAATTATTAAAAATTCAAATTCAGTTAATGATGATATTTGGTTTTTTTGTTGTATATCATTTTTATAGGAACATTTACAAATTATATTTTAATTATAAAATTGATTAAAAAAATGTATGGTCCAATTTGTTTTTTTAATATTGCTGCAATAACCAATTAACTTGATATATAATTTAATATATATTCATATGTTTTATATTAATTTTATATTAATTCAGAAAATATGATTTTGAAAAGATTGATTGTTATTTATATTTTATTAATTATTTTCCTTTTTTTTAACACTTGGCTTTTTAATGTAGGGAAGTGAATGGGACGAATCAAGCTTCCAAGAAGCAGTGAGAAGGATTCTTGATGACGTGGCATGATGACATGTTACCGTTCAATTTTTGCCACGTGTAGATGACTATTTGTCTGACAATGCCACAAAACCTAACCAAAATGTTTACTTTTAAGCATTATTAATTAACATGTACAAGTGGATTGTCAATATGGAGTCTAATCGATTTAGTGATTCTTCGTTTTTATTATTAATTATTAGGAAATAGCTTAGAAAAATGTAAGGAATTATTTTATTTTGAATAATTTTTTTTTAAATTATTAAATTTTTTTTATTTTGAATGATTAAGTTTTTGAATGAAAAAATCATTAAACTTTCTCATTTGAACGACTAAGTCTCTAAACATTTTTTTTGAATAAATAAACTATCGAACTTCTAAAAATTAGTTACGTACATCTTTTAATTAAAAAAAAACTGCATGTAACTGATTAGGAATGTTTTTAAGTAAAAACAAACTTAAATCAATTTTAACGTGGCCAAACCCTACTCCATTAAAACCCCTTGCAAACAATGGTATCACTCCCCCTTGCCACTCTTTGTTTCCCTTCGTTCTTCATATCGTCAAATACGCTTTTGACCTCTGTCATTGATCTCCCTCTTTTTTATCTATCAAAAAAGGGATAATCAAAAGATAATTGATTACAAGTAGCTTCTTTTTGGTTAAAATGATGTACGTAATCAATTTCTATAAGTTTGTTGGTTTAATTTATTGGAAAAAAAATTCAAAGACTTAACCATTTAAAATGAAAAAATTTAATGGTTTTTTCATTTAAAATAAGAAATTTTAATGTTTTTTCATGCAAAAAATAGTTCAAGAACTTAATCATTTAAAATGAAAAAGATTAATATTTTTCATTCTCAAGGACTTGATTATTTAAAATGGAATAATTTATTGAGTTTTTTTTTTGAAGTTTTCCTTATTACACTAAGAAATTTGTAATTCATTAAATTATGATAAATTATTATTTATTTTGTATATTGAATAAATTATTTGAATGACAAAGTCATTTGTTTTACTATCTTGTCTTTAATTAATTTTTCAAGAAAAACTGATTTTGTGGTAAACTGTTTGGATGAACATTTTGAATAACAAAACATATCAATAACTAATTAATTTCATGAATTTTTTTAGATAAAAACTATATCATCTTATATAATTATATGTATCCATTAATATATGAAATATTTAATTGTAACAAAAATTGACGGATCCTAATGACACTCACTTCTAGCGGCGAAGTCAGTAATATTCTAGTTTAGAGGATTAGAAGATAAGAAATAAAATGAATTTAACTTGTCGATTTAAAGCATTCAAACAAAATGTTAATGTGAGGTATACAATTAGTGTTTGTTGTCATGAGTCTCGTGAAATTTTGAGAGGAAATTTTAGGTTTAATGAGTGTGTAAATAAATAAATAAACATGAAAATTCTAGCTTTTGTTTGTAAGTAACAAGAATCTTACCTGGTAAGAGCAAATGCAAGTACCGAGAGTTTTACCCGGTAAGTGACAGTGCTAATTCTTACCACGGTTATCGCTTACTGGGTAAATTTTTACATTTGATATCATTTTGGTGTATTAGAATCTTACCTGGTAATTAAGTAATTGATAATGTTGAATTTTGTCGGTAAACACTTACCCATATATATAAATGTTTGGTAAACGGCCCAACTTATATTACCATTAATATACATAACATCATACAAACATCTATTAGATGTCGTTAAAGGGGTGATTTGTCACAAAAATTGATGGGTAAATTGTGGTGGAAAACTTGTATTAGTAACAGATTACCAAAGTACTTTTCTGGGTGATCCGTTGACATTTTCTTGAAAAACATCGGATTCTATCAGAATGATGGGTATTTATGGGCAATAATTCGTTAGTAATTGATTACCGATGAACATTTCTCTGGATGGTTTTTGTAGGTAGAAATCATTTGTTTTTGCAGTGCCGTTAACATTCCAAACATTCTTTGACCTTTAACTAATCCCTCAAATTATGTATGAGTGAACCCAAGAATGTCGTCATCAATTCATCAGGTACACGTCATGTCTCTTTACGATTTAATGATTTAATAAAAACAGACATTTAAATAAGCCGCAAAAAAACTATGGCGATGACTAATTAACTTACAAGAGAAAAGATAAAATTCAAAATATGAATGATTGTATGTCCTTTTTACCTGATTTAATTAGTTTTAAAGAAATTAACAAAATATAATGATACTTTATGCAAAAATGTTGTGTGCACTCAAGTATGTCCATGAAGTTTTGGATCGATTAAGGTTTTGAACCAACATAACTTTTTAAAACGTTAAAAAACACATTTTTAGCATTTTGCAAGAACGAACAGTTTCGATTAAATTGTAGAAATGTGAATGCGATAAAAAAATTATTACATATTGAATTTTAAAATAAACAAAATGTTTGATTTGACATGTTATCTTATGCCATGGTAGTCTATAGCCGACAATCAAAATTTAAAAATCAAAAATAAATGTTAATTATGGATTATTGTTAAGTGGATATATAAATTTGGATTAGAAAGTTATGTGAAAGATATTGTATTTAACTAATAAATAAAATAATTTATTTGATTAATATAAATAATTTTTTTATTTATTTAATGATATTAAGGAGCCGTTTACTAAAAACTTTTTCGATAAGTGTTTATCGGCAAAATTCAACACTATTACTTACTTACAGGGTAAGATTTTATTCCATCAAAACGACATTGTATGCAATAATTTACCCGATAAGCTCTTACCGTGGCAAGAGTCGTCGTCTTCACTTACTGGGTAAGACTTTTGTTTTTTGTCTCGTTCTTATCCGGTAAGATTCTTGGTTTTTGTCATATTCATATGATAAAGTAATGTGACTTGATAAACATTTATCGGTTAAGATTAGATAATTAGTGTAGGCGTGTAGGGTTTACGATCGGAAGGAACAAAATTGACAAAAGACCCAATGATGATGTGAGAAGATTCAACGTTGAATGAATGGTGTTCACCCTTGTTGACTAGTCATAATTCAACACCATATATGATTGTGACTAATTAGTGTCTCTTATACATATATATACATATACATATACATATACATATACATATACGTATACATACATAAATTAATAATTAAATAATCATCTAGAATATTAAGACCATCTTTACAATAACGGTGTCTTAATTCATCCAGATGTCTTGTAAACACACATTATTATTATTATTTTTCTAAAAGAAAGTTTAGGAAGGAAGTTGGGAAGTGCTAACAATGAATTCATTGTATATATAATTAATTATATAACAAATTTTATTATTTGATTTTGATTATTAAACACAACAACCATCCATTCAATTCAAAAACTCAAATAAATAAATATATATATATATATATATATATATATATATATATAT